TATGAATAGGCAGGTGAGAATAAGAGAACTGACAAGAGCAAACAAAATTATTCAACCAAGTAGGAGGCTTAGATACTCGAGAGGATTTCCTAGAAGGAATAGGTGCACTTATTGAAGCAGAAGACTGAACTGGAATTTGAGAATGATGTTCATCAGTAGCAGTACTCAATTCAGTAGTATTATTAGGAAGGGAGCTAGAATGTTGAGGACTTGGAGAATTTAAACCAAGAAATCATCATCAGAAACAAATGTAGTGGATGGGAAAAAATTGGATCAGAATCATAAAATGAAGAAGATCGGTGAAAGGGAAACTGATTTTCATGAAACTTAACATCCCTACTAATGAAGAATTTTTTAGAATCAAGATTGAACAACAAATAACCTTTTTAGGTTGGAGAATATCCCAAAAAAATAGAAGCAAAGGCTCTAACATCAAACTTATCATGGGGAGTAAGATTTGTTGCAAAACAGAGACACCCAAACACTCGAAAATGATCATAAGAAGGAGGTTTATGGTATAGTAATTCAAAAGGAGTTTTCCAAGATAAAACCGAAGAAGGCAACCTATTGATAATATAACAAGAAGCTGACACACATTCTCCCCAAAAATTAAAAGGAACTCGAGACTGAAAACGGAGAGCCCGAGCAACCTCTAAAAGATGCCTATGTTTACGTTCTGTAACTCCATTCTGTTGAGGAGTACGAATACAAGAACTTTGATGAATAATTCCCAAGGATGCAAACAAGGGAGAACACTCAGAGTTAAAGAATTCACGACCATTATCACTACGAACAATTTTAATTGAGACAAAAAATTGATTCTGAACCATTAAGATAAATGTTCTAAGACAGGAAACATCATCATTCTTAAGCTTCAATAAGTATACCCAAGACATTCTAGTGTAGTCATCTACAATAGTTAAGAAAAACCGTTTACCAGCATGAGTAGAAATTCGATAAGGCCCCCACAAATCAATATGAATCAATGCAAAAGGAGTAGCGGTCCTAGAATTGCTGACTGGAAATGGAAGCCTAGATTGTCTAGCTAAAGGACAGACATAACAAGTTTGAACAGATTCATGATGCAAATTCATATTATGAAACATAGGTAATTTTTTAACTGAGAAACTGGAACATGTCCTAAACGAGCATGCCAAAGATTTGTTTTATTTGCATCGACAGACTTACAAGTATTGGGAAAAGTTTCAGAACGAACAAAAGAATTACATGCAGCAACCGAATGATTTAAGGCAGAAACAGAAAAAACAGAATCTGCAAGAAACCTAAGCATGTAAAGACCTCTATATTCTTTACCAATCACCTTCATCATGCCATTGTAAAGATCCTGCAATATACAAAGATCAGGATAAAACAAAACAACACAGTTTAACTCATGGGCCAGTTTTGAAACAGAAATAAGGTTGTGAGTAAACTGAGGTACATGAAGAACATTAAACAATTGAAGACCATTTGGAAACCTAACATAACCTATATGTGAGACAACAAGGGATCTACCATTAGGCAGCTGAACATATTTAGGAGTGGATGTACAAGGCAAGGGATTAAGCATGCATTTAAAATCTGATAAAATATGGTCAGTTGCTCCAGAATCCATTCAAGTGAATTATAAGTAAGAGAATAGAATGTACATGCTAGATTTACAGACGAATCTGGACTGGAACTCTGAGCTGAAGATTGATTCAGAAGCCCCAGAAGCCGCTGATACTGTTCATTTGTAAAAACTGGTGGAGTTGGATTAAGCACCTCACGTGTAGAGGGAGTCACCATGGCAGCTTGAGAAACCTTCTTCTTGTTGAACTTAAAATCAGGAGGAAAGCCAATAAGGCGATAATAATTCTCCTTTTTATGACCCTTCACTTTACAGTGATCACATACTCCAGTAAACCGTCGATGATTACCGGAAGCATTGGAATATAATGCTGTAGAATCCATGAGAGGAACAACGCCAGACAACTGAAAGCGATGGGATTCTTCCTGGCTTATCATGGAATATGCGCTGTTGACTGAAGGCAAGGGATGCATCAATAGCAACTGACTGCGAATGGCAGTGTATGATTCGTTCAACCCCATAAGAAACTGAAACAACCTTTGTTGAGAAACATTGCTTGAACTTAACCGAGCATTTTCGCAGGTACAGTTCGAATAAGGAACCAGTGCATCGTACTCGTCCCACAGAAGCTTCAGACGCGATAAATATGCAGAAATAGAGAGCTCACCTTGGATCATCGTCTTAATCTCCCGATGAAGAAAGAAAATGCAAGAACCGTCGACCTTATCAAAACGCTCCTTGAGATCGGCCCAAACGAACGCAGCGCTGGAAGCAAAAACAATTCCAGCAGACAAATCTTTGCTCACGGAATTGATGATCCAAGACAGCACCAAGGCGTTGCACCTGTCCCACTGAGCTTGAAGAGGAGACTGGAAATCGTCGCGACAGCACCCTCCATCGACGAATCCCAACTTGTTCTTGGCGAGGAGTGCGATTCGCATTGAACGATTCCAGACGGTGTAGTTGTCTGGTTCAGACAGCTGATGCGAGATTAAAACCGTGCCCGGAGTATCCGAGGGATGGAGATACAACGGGTGGTTGAAATCGATGAGCACAGAGTTGGTCACCGGAGCCGTTGTGGATGGCATCGCGACAGATGCGACGGTGATGAAAGAGCTTTAGGAGTGAGGAAAGAAAGAAAGAAAAATGAAGAAGGCCGAGAAAGGAGAAAAGCCCTGGGATTTGGACTAGCCTGATACCATGTTAAAGTATAATAAGAAAATGGAAAAAATTACTTCTCATATATTCAATAATGATAACTTCCAATTTGTTCCTCTATTTATACAACCTTTCAAACTAACCACCCAACTAACTCAAAACTGCTTCTAACTAATTTATAACAGAAAAACTGATTACAAACTCAACATTAAACATGTCAAAATCTCAAAATAATGTTCTTTTTCTTCTAATTTTGATGTCAGCATTAGAAAATAGACACAAATTATTCCGAGCTCGAATATTTGAATTAATTTATTTGGCTCAAAATTTGATATAGACCCAAAAAAGTCGAATTGAATCAAAATTGACTAGAACTTTAAATGAATAGATAATAATTCAAAAGTAATTCAAACAAAACATAATTCGAGTCTAATTTGCTCAAATCCGATCCAAACTAAATATTGACTCAATTTTAATTCGAATAATTAAGTCAAAGTAAATAAATAATCTGTTTTTATTATTATATATTTTTAAAATATAATAGATAGAAAATGACGCATGCTTTATTCTCTTTTTATATTATACTATTAATTAATCATACATTTAGTAATAATTTAATATCCCATGTCCCACTAACAAAACCTCTAAAATTCAGAAGGTAATATCAATGAAAATGTCCAAATCTTTTAATTGAGTATTTCAGGGCTATTGGATTTTACAAAGCCTAAGATTATGTCATCGGTAGCACAACACATGATACAAGGGCAAGGCCACCGACGATGATTCAAATATATAAAAACTCCTTGAAAATCTAACCAATATTCAACAATCGTACCTGAGCCTGAATCTGAGTTCATAATGCAGGTACTGACCAGAAAATTCCATCTGAGAGTTTCAAATCCTTATCTAAAACCACAAGAAACATGATGCTTACCTATGGTACCCTGACTTAAGGTGAGTGCAAACACTAGTATGTTCTGTTTTCCCTTTGTACCAGGTTTTCCCATATATTAGGAAGATCGTACTTCATATCCATGTCGAAATACGTATCAGATATGGAACATGAGAACATTCCATGAATGTGAAAAAAAATATACAAAGTGATGGGTATTTTACATTAATGGTTGATAATCCAACACTGACTTCGTCTATGGGGTGTGCCTATATCTGCTCAGTTCCCTTTGTGTTGCCCATTTTCAATATCAAACACGAAAAAGATCGGCCAAGATTTGTTATGCTGATGAATGATTTCAAACTCACTTTACATATCTTTTCTAACAATATATCTTCATAAATCCCGGTACAAGTTCCACTACAGCAATCCATATTGCTCCCAAAGAACTACGGCTACCATTTGTTACTCCAAAAATAACGACAATCTTCGTTAAAAGCATTGTAGAAGGCTATTAGTTAAGCTAGGATACACCATTGGACATGCTTCTTAAAACCTTTGACTCTGTAACTAGCACACCCCGAATGCTACAGGTTATTAAAAGATTCTCTGATCTCAGAAGTCAGAATCGATATCTACATTTCAAAACTACTTCAGCTTTGTCCTAAAGGAAAGCAAACAAGGCAAAGTACGAAAGATATCATCAAATGCATTTACTTCTCCTAACAAGACGATTTCCATTAGTTAAATGTCCGGAAATGAAATCAAATTTAACTTAACAGATCATAACTTAGAACTCCAATATCAGTCTTTAACTAAGTTGTTTGAAGGCCATAACTTGAATGTTATCGACTTACATAACTACTTCACCTCTGACCTAAAGGATTGGAAATAAGACAAAGTACGGAAGATACCATCGAAGACATTTTCTTCTAGTTACAAGACAATTGACATTAATCCGAAACCTGCAAATGCAATCAAATTTAACTTAACAAACCACACTCTAAACCTCTAATATCAGTCTTTGACTAAGCTCTTAAATGGTCACAACTCCAATGTTTTCTACTTTACTAACACTTGAAAACATGGCTTTGACTTGATTTATATCTACAAGGATATAAACAACTATGAAAACCAGAATAACACATGATACACATCAATTATCAAATATAGGGTCTGTTTCCTGTAAAAATGATTTCCGAATTTTCTACTTTAACTACTTCCAATTGGCAAATCTATTCAAGTTCTACCACACAACCAAAAATCCAAGATTATCATTCACCCAAAACGGACAAAAAGGTACTAATTTAGTAGCCAAGAGAATCATTAACTTCAACAAGAAGAAAATTTGAAAGAAAAAGGAATACCCGCTTATAATAAAAGAAAACAAACAGAACCCAACATGTCATTTATCTCAAACAGTGCATGTATAGCAAAATTCACTTCATACGGTATAAAACTTGAAATTTATCTCAATGAATCAAAGTTTTTCCTTTTTTTATTTCTCAAAGGGATCAAGTCAGAATGCAATGATAAATATTTTTAAGAAGGCTTAATATCCATTATACTTTTGACCTTCGGAGCATAGAGTGAATAAACCAAAGCCCGTCTTTTGGCGACTTCCAGCTGAGCCTTACCGTCGGAGAACGCGGCGGAGAGCTGAGAGCAGTTGGTTAAGATCTTATTGTCTCGAAACGCGTCGATGGTTCGCCGTTTTGTGTACTCCCTTATGTTGTAATCACAGAACTGTCGCGCCACTCGCATGAGTGATCGGTAAAGCTGTAAAACATCTATTCTCGTCGGCGCTGCCGCCATTTGCCTTTTCTTTCCTTTTTTCCCCCTTCTTCTAAGGATATTAAATTTTCCGAGAAAATGAGTGAGATTTTCTTTTTCTAGACCAGTCGTGGGAAAAGGGGACCTTTGCAGTGCCCTTGTTCACGGTGACGGATGATTCGCTACGCTAGGTCCTTCTTTTTCTTCAAATATACCAAAAAAAATATTATAAAAATAATACACTCTCGATTAATTTATGATATAACATTCATTTTCATTTACAAAATTCTTCTATTTAAGTTAATTTTTATTAGTCTTAATAAATTCTATTTTATTCTCCAAAAATGTTTAACTGAATTCTGGATAAACAAACATTTCTGAAATGAACCATGAGACGGAGCTTGAAACACTAACAGAATCTTGGATCTTCCTGGCTATTTCTGATGCTACTAAGAAGGTTTGATTCAAGGAGGACAAAGATGAAATCAACCACGGTTCGGATATGATTACTGATAATCGTGAGACATTACCAAAGTCTTACGCATCGATCTTGGCTGACAATTCCTGAGATAGAACTGGTAAAGGCGGAAGTATCCTGTAGGATGAGGAGGACATTGACATCACTGATGAGGATGTAATGATGGGTACCAAATTTAGTTTACCGTCCATTTAATTTTCTGATCGTGCCTACCGACTCATAGAAGCGAGTATGACTCAAACAATTGTGTTGAAGCTTTTACGACGAAATATTGGCCTGAACGCTCTCGCCAACAAAGCCTTTTCCCTTTGGAAGCCGACCAAACCCTTTACGCTCATGGATCTAGAAAACGAATATTTTTTAGTCAAGTTTCAATTAGAGGAGGATTATGAGAAAGTCCTGTCTAAAGGGTCGTGGATCATTTATGGTCAATATCTCACGGTACAACCATGGATGAGGTAATTTAGCACCACTCAACTGTACCCCACAACGATCATCGCTAGGATTCGCTTCCCAAGACTTCCCTAATACATGTACAAAAAGTCGCTTCTTTCTAACATTGGTAAATTTGTTGGGAAAGATGTGGAGTTAGATTTTCACAAAAACGCGAGTAACATGAGAAGGTTTGCTAGAGTGGTCGTCTATGTCGAACTAAAAAAACTTTTAGTCTCTCAGGTGGTTACTGGGAATAAAATTCAGATCATGAAATACGAAAATCTTCCATTCATATGTTTTTCCTACGGTAGATTTGGTCATTTGAAGGAAGCTTGTACCTTTATCATCCAAGATCACAATAGCAGGGACAACTCGATCAATGTCCCAGACTCGAATCACGATGTTATATCAGATAACAGTACTAAAAGTGGGCCAAAGATAATCTAAACAAACAATCCTGGTACTTTGGTGGAGGAGTCTTACGGCTCGTGGATGATGGTGGAGAAACGGCATCGACGGCCACAAACAGAAATGACGAAAAAGACGAAAAGTACTAAGTCAAGATTCCGTTTCCGGGCTTTGATTGAGAATCCCGCGCCTAAAGGAAGGCTTAAACAATCTAATAGAGAAACATAAGGAGAAAATAATGAAATTGCCATTCCCAGTGTTACTTCCAAGGATAGAGAGATCATGCCTAATTTGACCAACTCTCCCACGGTAACAATGAATGTTGATGAGTGGTTGGATTTGTATATATTTTGTTGGTTATTATTTCTCTATATTTATTTGATGTTACTGATTTGGTTATGTTTTACTTATTTTCGTGACATGAGCTTATTTTTCATAATCAATAGTAAAGGGGGCTAATTTTTTTTTATTTTTTTTATTTTTAGAATCATGACAAGAAACATGAGCACGACTTGGGGCACGATGCAATACAACGTGGCAGAATCTAACGATCTAGTAACCAACAATAATTTCTAGAAGGTCCAGTCAATACTCTTGGAAGGTGGATGAACACATTTATTAAAGTTGTTTTAGGAATTTAAGTTTAAATTTTATGATAAATTTTTTGGATAAATTTTTTAAATTATTATTAGGATATTTTTATTTTACTTTGAATATTATCTTTTATTTTTTTAGGAAGTTTATCTCTTATAATTTTCTAGGCTATAAACAGTGGCAGATCTAGAAATATTTTTAAGAGTGAGCACATATATGTTAACAACATAAAATTTTTAAATGGGATGAGTACAAATAAAATTTCATAGTGGGCACCGTTTGTAAAATAAGTAACTAATCGAAGGAAACTCATATTTTAGGGTGAAAATCATCAATAAAATAAGTAACTAATCGAAGAAAATTCAGATTTTAGGGTAAGTACGTGCCCACTCTCACCAAGTTGTGGGTCTGCCACTGGCTACAAATACCTCTTAGGGTGAAGCTTGAAAGGTGTATTGAATATGACTTTTTTCTTCGGGTTTTTTTTATAAAATTTTTCTTTTCTTTCATCTTCGTTTTAACTTTAGTTTTCTTCTTACTTCCTTTTAAAAAAGGTTAAGCATGATTTCTATCATGCTTAGCTAAATTTTCATTTAGCCAAATGCTTAGCGATGACTCAATTTTGTTTGTGAGAATTGAAAAACACTTAACATCTTCAGATGACATTCTCGATTTTCTGAAAACTTGATTTGGCAAATGACTATCTCTTTAATAATCTTAACACTCTCAATTTAAAAAGACATCTTAGATTTGAAGGGTGTTTTAATTTATAATTTGGGAGAAAGAATCGGTTGGTTGTAATTCAACTTCCTATAAACAAACTTAGTGGCGGCTCACTAAGGTGAAACGTGATCGGATTCGATTCTCAGTGAGACACCATAACCCGAGCACGAGTTTTTTCAGTGCTTAAAGTTGTATTAATGCTAATGGTGATAGCTGTGATTAGTCCAAGTAAGGATTGAATTCTAGAGATAGACTTGAGAATATTCATTTACCGAAGAAAAAAGTAAGTTACAAAGGTTGAGCCTTGTAGACTGTAACATGCATGTATCTAGAGTAAAATCTTTCGATGATCAATTTGAAATTGAGACAAAGCGAGACTAGGCTATTTTTAATCTATCATTACCTTTCTCAAAATTTACTCTCATTTTATTTCACAACTTTTCATTCTACTTTGATTTATTTTACAATTTATTTTCAATTTTTATTCTCCTATTTTAAAACCCATATTTTTCTTTTTACTTTCTCACTAAAAACAGGATCAAGAGAATTTTACGAAGCTCCTTAGGACATGCGGGTCGACTTTTCTTCTCTTTACTTCATTTTTATTTATTTTATTTGAAAATAAAAAAAAAAATTTATTTAACTATTACAACGCTTATCACGTGCTTAATCAGGTGTCTCAACCGATTACTCAAACCAGACCGTTGGCAGCCCAAATGAATAAAGTGGGGTATAGCAAAAACCACGTGCCAAATTCCATCCCAGGATACGCCTCCTCCTACCTCATCTCACGTTAACCCTCTCATGCACGAGAATGGGATGAATATTACCATGCAAAGTTCTATAGCTTTGTACTCCACGAGCATGGATATGGATAATCTCACGACAGAATCTAAAGCAGCGGAAGCGGTTAGTTCGAATGGCTCAAATTTTATTTGCAATACTAATCCCACTTTCGAAAATTCTTTGGGTGCAGGTGAACGGATGTTAACTACGATGCTTGATCCCAAGGAGGCGTTCACGTTCCAATCGATACCCTCTTCATAAAACGAGAACCCATTGAATACTCCTTCCCCTACTATCCGTCGTACGTCCTGGACTAAAGGCACGACAACCCTTTACGTCAATCGCAATAAAGGAATAAGGTTCATAGGAAGCCCTCCGGCCCGACCATCAGTTCAGGAAGCCATGACCGATGTTATCAATAACATCTAGGAGTAGATTAAATGCCAATCCAATGGGACGAAACAATCAAATAATACGTCCGGTTATAGCCAGTAGAAGTATTTCTATTCATTTTTTTGTTATGGATTTTTACCTTCTTATCGTGGAAATGTCGAGGTAACAACGAATGTAAATTCTCGAGTCTTTAAGGAATATATACGAGAGCCCAAGCCAAACATGATGGTTTTTCTTGAACCAAGAATCAACGATTACAAAGCAGACAAAATCATAGCGAAACTTGGGTTCCATAACTCGAATAGAGTGCAGGCCATCAACTTCTTGGGAGGTATTTGGTTGTTTTGGAATTCTACCATTACGGTTGACGTTATAGCTACCCACCCTCAATTCATTCACGCGTGGGTTACATGTACAAATTTTCCTTTACCCATTTTGATAACTTTGGTCAGCAGTAGTCCTGAGAGTTATAAACACAAGGCTTTATGGAGGGACCTTAGTGACATTCAATTGGCGAGCGGAGCACCTTGGACCTTAGGAGGTGATTTTAATGTCATTCTTATTAATTCCGATACCTGGGGTGGTGCAAAAAGAGGTATCGAATGCAAGATTTCCTCCAAAGCTCTAATCTTTTTTAATTGGGTTTCAAAAGGACTGCCTTTTACTTGGAAACGAGGCGGAACTCTAGAAAGGCTTCATAGAATACTGGCCAACGAACACTAGAATAGGATTGCTCCTGAGGCGTTTATGTATCATCTCCCGCACTTTAAGTATGATCATAGGCCCCTCCTCCTCCGGGCTACCTTTTCGTTGAAAAGTATTGGTCAACGATTGTTTCGCTTTTTTCCAGGTTCTTTTGTTCGGGAGAATTAGCATATGGAAGGGAATATGAAACACAACTTAACGAAGTTTATTGATGCCCTCTAGTCTTTGAATAAGAATGTTTTCGTGCATATTATTCAGGAGAAGAAATGGCTGAAGCGACATCTCTCTAGGGTGCAAGCAGCCGTGGGTTTTCACGGTAATGATAATTTAAAAGAGGTGGATATGGACATTCGAGCTAAGTTGAAGGATATCCTTGATAATGAAGAGCTTCTGTGGAAGCAGAAGTCTAAAAGTACTTGGCTGTCGGTGTCGGAGGGTGACCCGAATATCAAGTATTTTTCACTATCGAACTGTTCTCCGCACAAAAAGAATCGTATCCAAGCTTTACGAATTAGCAACGGGGATTGGTGTTACGACGAAGACACCCTTATAAGAGAAACCTTTTTCTAAAGGGCTCTGTCGGGATGAAGGTCAATGCTCAGAGCATTTTCCGATTAGGAATGCCTTCCCCCG